TCATTGGTGAGGGCTTATGCCCTGTTGTTGGCCTGTATTGGTGTTTTGGTGAGGGCTTATGCCCTGTTGTTGTCTTATTTGACATTATGGAGGGATTATGCCCTGTTGCTACCACATGCATTGAGTCAGTTTCGGTCTCTTTGTATAGCATTGATTAATTGAATGACGTTGAGTTGTGTAGATGGTATATGCATTATGTGATAATTGATGATATGTGATGATAAATACATGTGGTAGTATAAATTATTATGCAATGGAATTGTTGTTGATGGCATAGAAAATTGAGATGTGGAATGTGTAACTAGACATGCTTATATCTATCTCATACTTATTATTATAAATTCTTTTTATTATATTGTTATGATATCTCACCCTTCTATTGGAATGATTCTTTATACGACATTGGGCAGATAGTCAGGAGTAGTCAGAGGCTGCAAAGTTTTAGAAGAGGTTACTCTTCAAGTTTAATTGAGTCGGTGTCATTGCTCTGATATGTAACACCAGGGATGGATGAATGCTTATTTATTTCGTTGTTTTTGGTGATTTGTTGGAGTATTACGAACTCCCTTTTATTTTGAGTAGATGTTGGTTTATGTCAAATATGAAATGTTTTAACAACAAGTATGATTCTTTTTTCGCTAAATTAATAAAATTGAAGTTAAGAACTATGTTGTGTTGTTTTGGTTCATATATGATGGTGTTATGTATCGTTTATATTCCGAGAAGCCGTGTATGTTTTGTAAGATGTCACATCCTAATTTTGTTTTGATGTTTAAATATTACTCTGATTTAATTATAATTACGCGGGGTTGAATTAAGGTGTTACAAGTTTAGGGACAAATATGATATTGAATGAAAATTGAGGCATGTATAAAACATTGGTTAAAATTAAATGAGAGTAAAAGAGAATAGTTCATGCAAATTCAGTGGTAACTAAAGACTCATTTGGAAGTTTCACGGTTACAGGAGAATTTCTTTTCAAGTAAGTAAAAAATTTTTGAGAAAAACAAACATGATCAGTGGCGCCAGCTTCAAGGATGAATGCTTCAGGTTTGGCATGATGAGGTAAAGAACATATAATACATGTGTTGGGTTTTGATTGAGTAATGAGATGATTTACACTATGAGAGCTTGATTGTGATGATTGTTGGAGTAATTCCAACAAATATTTGTGTTGGTCAGGGATAAAATCTATGAAATTTGAAGACTGGTCATGAGGCTGATCTTCAGTAGTTTCAATTTGAATCTCATCTTCATGAGTACGGTCATATGCTACATTATTGATGGTTTTGTTGTTGCCAATGAGAAGGGTAACCATGCTTCTTAAAACATGTATCTATGGTATAATTGTTCATGCTACAATGTGTACAAATTCTTGTACCTCTACCTCGACCACCACTAAAGGATCTACCTCCTCTAGCGTTCTTGCCACAAAATGAAGCAGTGCAATTACCTTAAAATTGATCAGTAGGAAAAGCTAACATTTTTTATTCATCAATAGGGGAAACAATTTGTCTCTCTTGTTGAACAAGTAAAGAGTAAACTTTACAAGTATTGGGAAATAGATTCATCAACATAATTTGAGATCTAACTGCAAAGTATTGATCATTTATTCCTTTCAAGGATCTGATAACTTAATCTGAATCCTTGTAACTTCAAATTTTGTCAATCTCGATGCATGATATATCACATTCACATGCAGGAAGTTTTCAAAAATTATCTAACTCTTCCATAACATCTTCAATTTTGTGTAATAAGATGAGATAGAAGAATCATCTTGTTTGAGGGTGTAAATTTCTTCTTGAATATCTGAAATTCTGAACACATCACCATGATAGAACCAATCTTTCATCTCTTTCCATATGCTTGAAGAAATTTACATCCACAAGATGCTTTGAGATATGTCATAATCAACATAATTGTTTAACCATGACATTATCATCGTGTTGCATCGATCCCATGCAATAGAATTGGGATCTTCATCTGCCGGTCTTAGTAACGGATCATTGATGAAGTGCAAGTTGTTGTTGGATCTTAAAGCCATAATCATGGATCTAGACCAAGAATAATAGTTTCATGCATTCATCAATGGAGTAACCAACACAAGAGATAAATTTTCATTTGGATGAATGAAATAGGGATTGAGAGTGTCATTTTGATAATCCTTATTGAGGTTAGAAGAAGTATTGAGTTGATGCAAAGGAGCATGGCCATCATGGATACTAGAAGAGCTTTCAACATACATTGTTGAATCAAATTGTAAGAAAAAGAAAGAATTGAAGAACGATCAAAGGAAGAAGAAAGAAATAGATTGAGATATGTGAAAGAAATGTGATTATGCATTGGTAATGATGAGGATGTAGCCACAAATTGATGATACCATGTGAAAGTTAAACCTAAATCATCATTGAAATGTATCAACTAGCTTATATTGCATTATGTGAAAAGAATTACACAAAATTACTACATAATGTTGAACCTCGTACTACTTATAGCATCTATAGTTAGTTATTTTTAACAACTAAGTTGCAACTATATCTTAACCATCTAGTAGAAAGTAGTTACAACTAACTAGACTTGATAGTTACAACAATAGTGAAGTTAACTTGTCACACGAGCAACTTTACTAACTTCAACTATCATTTTGTGCTCAACACGAAGACGATAACTTTCGTCTCTAAATTGTGTTTCCAATATCAAAATTTTGTTTTTGGTCTCAATTTGTAAAGTTCCGTCTCTATTTTCGTCTATATCAGAGACTAAAATTTTTTCATGTCTAAATTTTGTCAGAATTTAAAATTTTTTAGTGCTGATTATCTCATAAAACATTGGAATGAGATTTGATGTGATATAGTTTGTTTGTTTCAATTTTTTTTAAAAGTAAATTTTATGGTATTACATGTTTTTGTTTAAAAAATGAATTTTAAATTTTCAAAAACCACTTAAACTTTAAGATATTTTAAATAATTTTTCATAAGAATTATTTTTTTAATATATATTTTTGAAGAATTATGTGATTTTTAATAACTATTAATATAAAATTTTGACCATCATAAATGTGTGGAACAAGTGAGAACATGAAAATTAGATAAGATTCACATAAGGAGTGATTCAATTGAAGCAATCAATTATCTATCTATTAAAATAAACTATCATCAAACTACTAATAATATTCTTTATTTTAAAAATTTTTACATTTACAAAAGGTTAAAATATTAAAAATTTAATTTTTTAATTAATTCATTTTACTTAACCCAATACTATCAAGTCTCAAATTTCTATTCGACACTTTTTCAATTTTCACTTTTTTCTCCACTTCCCTCACTCTTTCACTCACCATCTCATTCTTATTTCAAATTAAATTCATTTTTCTTTTATATTTTTTCTCTTTTCATTTCATTATTTTATCTTTTCTACATAATTATTTTATTTTCTCTTAATTATTTTTAATATATTAAAACGTGTAATTATAATATATATATAAAATTAAAATTTTATTTTATAAAATTAAATAATACTAAATAGCCATACACGCAACAAACTTTTTATCTCACGGATCACTATCATAAAAATATCTATTTTATTTTAATTGAATTTTTTTAATTATTTAAGATACTAAATTTTTATTTTCAAATGTAAATTTTTATTTCTCATAGATCACTATCAACAAAATACCTATTTAATTTTAATTAACATTTGCCTTTATTTAAGACACAAAATTCTTATTTGCAAATGTCAAAATCTCTTTTTTTTTCTCACGAGTCACTATCAATAAAATACCTATTTTATTTTAATTAACAATTTCTTTTATTTGAGACACAAAATTTTTATTTTCAAATGTCAAAATTTCTCTTATTCTCACTGGACACTATACACAAAATTCTTATTTTTAAATGTCAAAATTTCTCTTTTTCTCACGAGACACGATCAACAAAATACGTATTTTATTTTAATTTACAATTGCCTTTATTTGAAAGAATTTTTTATTTTATTTTTCAGATGTTAAAATTTTTCTTTTTTTTACGAGCCACAATAAAAAAAAATCTATTTTATTATTATTTTAATTAACATTTACTTTTGTTTGAAACACAAAATTATTATTTTTAAATATCACATTTTTTTCCTTCTCTATTTTACAAATATTTTTTTCTTTTTATATAATTATTTAATATAATTAAATTTATATTATTATTATTTATTTTATAATTAAATAACTCAATTTCAAATTTATATATAAATCTAAATAAAATTCATATCGTATTAAATAAATTAATCCACATTGTACTAGTTTTTGCAATGAAAAATCTATGTCTTATTAGAAGACATGTGGCATCTTTATTTATTCACATATTTTCAAAGAAGAGAATAATTGCACAAATAAATTGGTAAATAACATTTTGTTAGGTGGGAAACTTTACCAAATTAATAGGGGAGGATTTCTTTAGTAACCATTTTGATTTACCTTCCTATAGATTTTCTTAATTTCCCTTTTAGATCTTTTAGTTTTATTTTTAGGATTTTTTTATTTTGTTTTTAATCCTTTTTATCCAGTTTTATTTTTTTTGGTCAAGTCAAACTTCTCGATTGTCATTTTTTAATATAGTAATATTTATCTAAAAAAAACTAGATATTAATTTTTAAGAATGTATATTTATTGTATTGAGTGTTAAAATTACTCTTTTAATTTATAAAAAAAAATTAATTTTTTTTAATTTAAAATAAAATTTATATATAAATCATTTTTAAAAGTAGAAAGAAAAAAGTCACTTTTTAAAAATTTAATAAATAGGCCCACAATTATTCTATATATTCCTTCCCATACCAAATATGTCCTAATAGTTCATAACAATATTTTTACTTAGTAAACCAAAAAAAAAAATATCAAAAATATATTTGGGTCTAAATTGAATCTAAATGCCAATTTTTTGCCGGAGTTTTTTTATTAGGAATTTCTATCCCTTCTTTTAAAAACGAAATTACAAATCTTTTTCTCCATCACCATGTGTACTTATAATAAGCCTTCAGAGGAGGAGGCCAATAACAAAGGTAATGCTACAACTTTGAACGTGTACATATAAATATTTTCCATGTTCAATAATCAATATATTATATCAATTTTATTATTATTTTTTTCCATTTCTCATTTGTTTAGAGAAAGGAATAGAGGGTGCTACAAAATCTGAAACCGAGGAGGATATTAAAGTCAAAGATGAAAATTCTCAAGTTTCATCAAAGAGTGCAGTTGTTTCTCTTTCTCATGTTTCTTCACGTCGATTGGAGGATACTGAATTAGCACCATTGTGTTTTTGTCCAAAAGGAACTTGGTATATTTATTAATTTTAATCCTTAATTAGTCTTAATTATTTTATATCAGAATTCAAAATTACCCCTACACTTCCTATTATTTCTTTTTATTTATTTAATTTCAGGTATGCAATTTTGGGTATCTTCATTCTTGGTTGCATTGTGACACTAATCCTGTTTTTTGTTGATATCGTTCATTATCGTCTGTTTATTACGGGATGAACGCGATTATGAGTCTTGCTCGTCTTTGATGTTTCGAGAAGTGTTTTGAAGTTGTTTATGATAGTTTTTGTACCTTGTTTTATTTTTATTGTTTTATATATATTTGCTGCTATGCTATTAAATTCTTTTATAATTTTTGTGATAAATAAGCTTAATGAATTTTTTTCAATGACAAAATGATATTAGGTGTTTTAGTTACTGATAACATATCTAATTTATATTTGTTTCTTCTTTTTTACTTTTTTTTGACTAAATCTCATTTTGAAAATATAATTGTTTTGAAAACAAATCTCATTGTCTATATACGATATACTGTGTAATGTACTATTATATAATATTTTGATTTAATGTAAGGTTATTTATTTTTTTACTCAATCTATATATTAATATTAATATTTTGCAAAAAAAATCACTTTGATCTCTTAATTATATTTTTGGATTTAATTTAGTTTTTTAATTTTTTTCTGGTTATTTTAGTCTTTTAACTTCTAAAATAGTTTATTTTAGTCATTTTTGTTTTATTAGCGATTGAAAAACTTAAAAATTAATTGCTAATGTGATAAAAAAACTAATATAAAACGTTTTCGAAAGTTAAAGGACCAAAGTAAAAAAAAAAATTAAGGGACCAATCCGAACTTGAAAGTATAGTTAAGGGACCAAAATAGATATTTATCTTAATATTTTATTAAGAAGAAAATTTAGATATAATTCTTAAAATATAATTTATATTATTTTTTAATAAAAATATGACAAATATACTCAAGTATCTTTTATAAAATAAAAAAAAAATTATATTATATAAAAAAATTATATACTTATTATATTTTCATTTAAAAATAATATAAATCACACCTAAAAAATTATATTTAAATTTTCTCTTTTTATTAATTCATTAAGTTTTACTATTTTTATTTATGTTTTTATAAAAAAGGACATAGATATTTTTTATCATATTTTCTTATTTTAGTTTTTGTAAGTAAGTTTAAGAAATTATAATCTATTAAATGTTAATAAATGGTATTATAATACTCTAATAGTAGTTTAAAAAATATAATATCTATAATTTAAAAGTTTTAATTAATTGAATATGCAACAACTTTATAATTATTTATAAATGTTGAAATACTTTTAAATAAATGTTTATTCTAAGTATTTTCACATTTTATTATAAATTCATAAATTTAATTTTTTTAAACTCCGCCATCAATACTTTTTTCCAATACAATTAAATTTTATTTTATTAAATTTTTTAGTTTAATAATATTTTATTGTGTAAAATATTATAATATGACTTATTATTTAGTCAAAATTAATGATTATTTTAGTGACATTTTCTTTGTTTTTTTTAAAACTGTTTTTATGTCAAAATTTTAAATATCTAGAATTTAACTTCTTTAAAATTAAATAAATAAAGTGTCAGATTCAATAGAAGACAATGCTGCGAGTGATACTCAGCCAAATGATTTCTGAACTGAAGTTAGCAGAAGTGGCAAAGACCGTGATAAGAAGATTGTTGTTGATGACTTTTCAGGCTTGCTTTCTTGTGTGAATCGTTTCAATGCTCTCGAGGTTTTGAATAACCTTGTAGAGTTGAACGCATGCCAATGATTACAACATGGAATGTTAGGGGGTTCAATAAACTAGGCAAGCTTAAGGAGATTAGCTCCCATCTTCGTTTGCTTAGGGCAAATATTAACATCTTGATCGAAACTAGAGTGAAATTATCTTAGGCTAACAGTATAAGAATAAACTCTAAATGGGAGATAGTTTTGTTGATAACTATAACCATCATGATAATGGTAGGATTTGGGTTTAGTGGAACCCTAATAAGGTGGATATTAAAGTCATTTCTTGTTCAAGTCAAATGATTTACGGTGGTGTCTTTGATATACAGGGGAAGTTCCAATTCTGACTCACTGCGATTTATGTCCTTAACAAGCTGGATCAGAGGAAGAGTTTGTGGAGGGATCTGAGACAACTTCAGCAACAAGGGCCATGGTGCCTTTTGGGGGACTTCAATAATGTCTTGAAGTCCCAAGACAAGATTGGTGGATCCATTGTGACTGAAGCTGAATATGTTGACCTTCGGGACTTAATGGATTTCAAAGGTCTCTCTAAGATGGATGGTACAGGGGAATATTACACATGGTCAAATAAACAATCTACATGGACCATTTACTCTAGGATTGATAGAGTGATTGGAAATGTTGAGTGATTTCAAAGTCAGCTTAACACCACCCTAAAGATTCTTCATCCCCATGTGTCAGATCATGCTTTGCTTTTCTTGTCTAATCAGCCTATTACTAAGTATTAGAAAAGATTCAGGTTTGTCAACTGTGTCACTCATGTTGAGGTTTTTAAGAACGTGGTGCAAGATAGTTGCAAGATGCCTATTAAAGGTAGGCCTATGTACATTCTTTGGATGAAATTGAAGAGGCTCTAACCTTTTATTTACAAGCTGAAAAAACCTTTGATCTTGTGCACTCAAATGACTCAGGAGGCTAGGGAAGATCTTGCTAAAGCCCAAAAGGACCTTAATTCTGATAGGATGAACAACCACCTCATTGATGCAGTGAAGTATTATATAGCTGAGCTGATTAAAAGTAATGACATTGAGATGTCCATCCTCAAGTAGATGGCTAAATTGAGTTGGCTTAAAGATTGTGATGGAAATACCTCCTTTTTCCATGCATCAGTCAAAGCTAAGAACAACTCAATGAATATGCACATGATTCAAAAGGAAGATGGTATTGTCCTAACCTCTCACACTGAAATTGAAAATCAAATTCTGACTTTTTATGGTAGTTTGATGGGTAGTGAAGATGAGAGGCTTAACAATATTGATGTGAGGGCTATGAGGATGGGTCCCCAGCTCAACATGGCCCAGAGAGATTCTTTGATTTGTCCTATTAAGGAGGATGAGATCTTATCTGCGATCAAAGGTATTGATGACTTGACAGCCCATGGGCTTGATGGATTTAATTCCAAGTTCTTTAAGCATTACTGGGGAATTATCAAAGATGACTTGACAGCTGCTATTCAAGAATATTTTGGTAAAGGATATCTCTACCAAGCTTTCAATTGCACATTGGTTTCTCTCATACCTAAAAGCAAAGTTGTTATCTGTATCAAGGACTATAGACCAATTTCAGTTTGTACTACTGTCCTCAAAATTATTTCTCGTATTCTGACTGCTAGAATGAGCAAGGTCATTGGCGATATCATAAGCCCTAATCAGGTTACATTCATCCCTGACCAACAAATTCAGAGTCATATCTTACTTGTGTTTAGGTTATTTAGGGGCTATAGTAGGAAATGAAGGCCTCCAAAGTGTATGGTTCAACTAGATATGTAGAAGGCGTATGCTATGGTTTCATGGCATGATGTACAAAATATTATGCAAGAGATTGGTTTTCCCTATCAATTCATCAAGTGGACTATGAATTTAGTCATGTCTGTGTCCTACCGGTTCAATATCAATGGAAACATTTCTCAGCTTATGCCTTCTAAGCATGGTATCAGACAAGGGGACCCTGTAACGCGGTGGGAGAACTGACTTGGTTGTTTTGCGTTTTATCGCAAATGTTGCGGTTTAGCAAGAGTTTCCATCGAATTTTCTTTTATCCAAAAGGAAAGGCTGAAAAGGACAGGAAAGACCTTTGAGATGTTTTCTTGAGTTCGGGGGGTAGATTATGAAAAGGGAAGGTATTAGCACCCTTTTCATCCATGGTTTTCCATGGGCTCTTAGTTACTTGCTAGATCACTTACTTTTGTTTGAAAATGTGCTTTGTCTGGTTCATTGAAAGTATTTTGAAAAGGCACCATCGTTTAGGAAAACTTTGTAATGATTCTCGTTCATAAGAATGTATACAAAGTGTTGATCTTTTGAAAATGTTTTCAAGTTTGAAAGATATTTGTTGAAAGTGTTGGTGTTTATTTTTGAAAATAGCAAGGATGTTTTGGTTTTGAAATTGAGCAAGCAACTAGGAGTAATCTACCTACTCAAAAGTCTTTCATGTTTATTTCCTCTTTCCTTTGACATTGTTATCTTACCATTGATTTGGTAAGTAACTCTATCTTTGGATGTAAAAGGGACGGGCAAGGGTCATCGTATAACCATGATTATCAATGTTGTAAGATATCTTAGCATTTTCTTTAGGGACTAAGATCATTTTGAAAGGCAACATGGATAACATCATCGAGGGACTATGATCTTGTATTTTTGCTTGTTTTTGCTAAGATACCTCACATGCATAATATGACCATTTTTGTAAGGCAACAAAGTGGATTTACCTTAGGGGTGTAAGTGTGCAAGTGTTTTGATTTACATGCTTGATTTCTCTTGATTAGGGTTTGCTATTTGTTGGTTTTAATCTTTCCATATAAAACCCTAATTACTAGTATTTGTATATAAAGCTTTTAAATTGCGAAAAATAAAAATACTAAGCTATTACATCATTTAGGGGAGGGGGTGTACATATTTACAAATGAGGAATTACAAGAAATTAAAACCCTAATTATCTATTACAACCATATTGAATTTGAATAAAATGTACAAAATTGAATAAGTAAAAATGTAAGAATGTAAATGTAAAAAGAAATATGATTTTGTTTGGTTTTCATGAAAAGGGTTTTTTGACCTAATTATATAAAATAAAATAATTAACTAAAAATAAGAAAATTAAGATTAAGTTAGTAAAATAAATTAATTTAAAGAAAACAAGTTTTTTAGGGTTTTTGTGAACTTAATTAAACTAGTAAATAAAATAAAAGTCCTAAGTTCTAAATTTATTTTAGGTCACAAGAAAATAATATAATAGTAATTAAGACTAATTATCTAAGTATTTAAAAAAAATTAATTTATTAAATGAAAAATGTTTTTGTGTTCTTTTAGTTTTTATGAAGAAAAATAAACTAAATAAATATAAATAATAAAATATAAATATTTTTCGATTTTTTTTATTAATGAAAATAATAAAAAATAAAAAATAATAATAATA